AGAGAGAGAGAGAGAGAGAGAGAGAGAGAGAGAGAGAGAGAGAGAGAGAGAGAGAGAGAGATGATGGCAGACTGAGAGGAAAAACGGTTTAATATGAAGTAAAATGCTCCTTAAAGTGTTAAAAGGGATTAGACTTGTTACACAATGACTGGCATTTTACAAATTCTCCTCAGCTTTTGTTGCCACAGAGTGAGTGAAAACAGAAATACATTTTCTAGAATATGACTGTTTTAAATCTATTTGTGTACAAAAAAAACAAAAGAGGAAAAGCAAAAGTCAAAGAGTGCAATTAAAACAAGTATGGAAAGTACTTATATAGAATAGAAAACAAGGAAAACCGGGCAAAGAAAGGATGAAGCTCAGCCCAATGAAATACAATGAAAATTGCATATAACAACTGCACATAGCAACATTCATGCTACAAATAAAGCAATACATTTAGAACATAGTCTGAAGTGATTACACATTTCAACTTGCAAATTTATCTCACTTTAAAAGTTCCACGTATTTATATAGACACCAAATTTTGATAAATTATTGATCTTCCTACTGTATATTGCACATAAATTATGTTGCGTTAACTGGAAATTTTGCCTGCATTTTTTTTTATTTGACAATTTGAAAGCGTGACATTGTTCATTTATTGCAATTTTAGCTTTTTAAATGTGCATGTGAGAGAGAGAGAGAGAAATATATCTTGGATTCTAACACTGTGCACACTCATTAGGAAGTGGCACTTATTTTATATGTAGTACATCATTGTGAGTTTTAAAACGTTTTATTTTGATGGGGGTATGCACAAGAAAGAATTCTCGTAGAGTTATGTGATCTGTTTTTAACTTTGCTATAAATATGTTAATTTTTTTTCTTTTGTGAACACATTTGAAGCCAGTCTCAAGAACTGCAGTTTTTGACATTTTTCCTTTGGCTTCATTTCTCTGTCACAGAGAGTGCAATCTCGACTCCTCCAGCTAAACTGTTATGTCACGACTACAGCAGCCAGTAAATCAATCAGACAGACAGAAGAACCCGGACAGTCAGAGGATGTGCTTCCTGCCAGCTGAGTGACTCATTGTTTTCTGACATGAACAAAACCAGCCAGCAGCATTAAGCAGATCCAGCAGCACAGATGTAAACGAGGGAACGTGGTAAACGGTGGTGACAGGGGAGAAAGAAAGAAGAAGAGGGGCGATAAAGAAAGAGACAAAATGGGAAATGAGAGATAGATGACGTGAGCCTTGAAAAATGGAGGAAGTGAAAGGAAAAGAAAGAAAGTGAGAGCGAGATGAGACGATTCATCTTAACACATTAGAAGAGCGATCAGGTCTGTATTCCATCACCAGCGTTGGGAAAATGCACACCTCCCCTCCTGCATCCAAGTATCCATCCATCCCTGGTTGGCTTCACCCACCAATGTTTCACTGAGGAATCTCACCACTAAAAAGTCTTGTCAGGCCTATTTTCGTCTTGGTGTCTGGGAGTCTTCTCACCTCCACCTTCCCCCTCTCCACCTCTGCCTTCCCGGGTCTTCCCAGGATTAAACGCTCCCTTGTTGCACCAGAGGATGAGTGTGTTTGTGCTGCGAGGTCCAAAGCAGGACTTGTGTGTGTGTGTGTGTGGGTGGGTGGCTTGGCCCAACATTAATCATCTTTAAGGGGCTGACAAGCTYGGTGTGGGACATCGCATCACATCAGCACCTCACTCCCTCTTCTCTTCTTCTCCACCTCCTTCACTGAATTTATCTATTCGGTCCCCTCTCCCCATCACTCACCTTTCCTCTGGGAACAGCTGACAGGAAAAAAACAGAGGAGGAAAAATGGATGGGAGACATCGAGCGGCAGTGATGGGAAAAGACGGAAGACAGTACGAACAGACAAGTTGGAAACATCTGAATTGGTGATGGTAAAAGTAGAGAAAACCTCACATGGCCCAAGGCCTGATCTTGCAACCTTCTTACGGAGAGGCAACAGCTCTAACCACAGCGTCGGGCTGCCTTTTAGTCCCACATTGAAATGCAAAAGATAAATTCAAGCTATACAACACTGATATTTGTGTTTTCTGACATTACAAAAGCTTAAAATATGCAAATGTAACCATTTGTCTGTGTGCACGCATTTGTGTGATTGTGTGTCAGCGACCTGTAGAAGTACATTTGTCTACAGGTTAAAAAGAGCCCAGTCTGACACAGACTGGGATTGGATCTTTCTTTGTTTGCAGCGGTGGATGGAAATGACTCAAATTATCTTGTCAAGGCAATAAAGGAGGATGTGTGGCGATTTGAGGGAGTGGGGTGGGGGGCTAGAGTCAAACAGACAGAGAAACAAGGACAAAAAGGGAAATATCTTCAGATAGTATGAAGGAGACACACTGTGTAAGAGGGGTTGGTGCAAAAATACATGAATAAATTAAGGCCCAGCGTTTCTTGTTGTATTGCCCACTGCCTTTTATTTGAGAAACAATAGAGTTAGCTGTTTAAGTAAGACCTTGAAAATAATGTGAAATGTAATGTCACACAATATAGCAAATGTTTTCGCGTGCAAAATACAGTGGTGTTTGCAGATTTTTTTTTCGCGGGGGCGGGGGGGCATAAAAAATCAGCGGTGGCACGCTAAAACTAAAATCTATAACAAAACTTCAGTGATGCTATTCTTGTAAAATGACCATTGAAAACTAAAAAAAAATAATGAATATATGCCATTTCCTTCATTCTGGTGTATTTTAAGATGTTTTATGTATTTATGAAGTTCTACTAATCCTAAATAGCTACCCACCGCCCCAACCTGACACACTTGTCAAAGTATGTGTTGGGAACAATTTTTAGATTAATATCTTCAAAACTGTTTGCACTTTTTGTGTTAGTTTCCTTAGCACAAGGAGCTGTGGCAGACATCTTAAATCAACACAGGTGCACTGCAAAAACTRTCCATCTTACCAAGTTTTAAAATCTTATATCCAGCCAAAAAAGTCTTTTTGATCTTGTTTTGAGACTGATTTACTAAACAAGAACTGATTGTGTAAGAATCTTGTTTTCAGAATGTGTAAGATTATTTGTCTTGTTAGTCTGAAAATTTGACTCAATTTAAGTCAAAAATTTCTGCCAATGGAGTAAAAATTTTTTACTTGGTAAGATTCTTGAAATACTTGATTTGACTCAATTTTTTCTTATTTCAAGAATCTTACCAAGTAAATTTTTCTTACTCCATTAGCAGAAATTTTTTGACTTAATTTGAGTCAAATTTTTGGACAAACAAGATAAATAATCTTACACATTCTGAAAACAAGATTATTATTCTAACACAATCAGTTCTTATTTAGTAAATCAGCCTCAAAACAAGATAAAAGAGACTTTTTGGCTGGATATAAGGTTTTAAAACTTGGTAAGATGGACAGCTTTTGCAGTGTGTGGCCAGATCTGGTGTCAAGCTGCCAGTATTGCTGACTTCTGGCATGAAAAGTGTTTTGTCAGTTGGATGTGGGCCAGATCTGGCAATGATGACACTGTTTTTAGGATGGCATGCCACAACTGGTCCAGTTGTAGTTTGATTAATATGGTGCTGGCCCATGCATGGACCACCTCTGGCAAACCACATCTGGGCCACCAAAGGGTCAGCATTCTTTGTGATATCTGGGCCAACTGTTAGTGCATTGCATGGGCCAGAACTAGGCCAGGTTAATTAGGTTATGTGGAACGAATACAAACTAAAACACTTCTGCCTTTTGGCTRTGGACATTCAAAAGATTCTGTTGAGACAAAGTAATGGATTATTCATTTTTGATAGTCACGTAGCATCTAGTGCTTTTGGTTTCCAAAAGCTGTAAGGGAAGGGTTGTATGCTCAGACACACATACACACAGAGGGAAATGTGTGTTTCTGTGTGTCCTTACTAGTTACACTGAATGATAAATGAGCAAAGACGTACTGTGAGCTGCACATGCACTGTATTTGATTACAGTTCTCTGGGTCAGAGAGGTAGACCCCACACCTGGCCTTTTTTGTTGCTGAGGTGACAAGCAGTCTAAACGGGATGTCCTGACTGAAGCAGAGCCTTTTGTTYGAGGGCTAAAAACAGCCTCTTTGATTGGCCTAATACAAGAAATCAGGAAGTGTCCTCCAAAATTACCCACGGATCCAATTTCAATAGCTRTTATTTTTAGTTCGCTCAAAAACAGCTGAAGACAAACTTTTAGAGATGGAAATCACACAAGAATTAGAAAATAAGCGCCTTAAAACCTACACAATGCGGGGCACACATTTTATAGTACACACACCTTCACAGGCAGCACTCCATGAAACACATACTAGCACACAAGCAGGTGGGCCCCACCCTGTTGCCCTGCTGATCAAGGACAATGAAGTGAGGTAGTGTTGGCAGACTCTATACAGCATTATCTCATCCATGGCAGAGCCCCCACCCCCCTGTTTTGACCTGAGAGCAACATTACACAATAAAGACTGCACAGCACTCTGTTCCCCTTTTCCCATGTATGTAATCTAATGCACATGCTCGTACATGTAATGTCTGGGAATTTATGGAGTGTAAAAGGGGTTTAAACTTTAGAAATATAACAAAGACTATACATTAAAGCTGGCGATGCTATTAACTCTGTTCATCTTGAACTTGTTTTCTCAAACACAAACCTATGAATCAGATTAAAATTTTGTTCCTGATCTCTCTGCTTGATTTTGTGTTCTGCTATTTTGCTAACGATCAGTGTCTGCTTCTTTTTGTCACTGACTCCAGGTAAAAAGAAGATGTCGCTGTACGACAGCCAGGCACCGGTGTGTCCCATTTGTCAGGTGCTGCTCCGACCCGGAGAGCTACAGGAGCACATGGAGACAGAGATCGAGAGGCTAGCTTCCATATGCCTCAGGTAGGCCTCAGTGCCTTCACGGAGCTGATTCCACTGGCTGTGTTGCTTGTTTGTTAGTGTCCGTGTCCATGTGATGAATAATAACATTGCTTAATAGGGAGTTAAAGGTACTAACTGCAATGTCATAAGAGCGAATGATAAAACACTGCAAAGTAAGAAACTGAATCTGCACAATTTKTACAGCAAATTTGGGACCAGTCGCCAATTGAGTTTGTTTCGCGGCGGCAGGGCTGTCAAACTCAGTCACACTAGAGGGCCAAAAATCAAAACTAGGTCCAAGTAGAGCAAATTTCTGTCATGATTTATTGAAGAAGTGTTAAATATTCAATTGATACTATAGAAATACAAATGATTTATTTTACAAATTACCAAACAAAAAATAGTTAAGAAAGAGACCTCATTAGCTTCCATTTCTTATGTCTTACTCTTTATCAACACCATTTTTGATTAATTGTATCTGAGAGATACATTTAGCACAATCTAGCAAATGACATAAAGAAAAAACTTCACAAAAAATCAAATTATTTGACTCTAAAATAAGAAAATAAAACAGCAAAAGATGTGTGCCCTATGGACACAGGCAAAGTCAATGAAATTATGACATGGCAACATGAACGGAAGTCACCAGATTTTTAGTATGTACAGTATTTACAGCCAAATATGCGTAAAGAATGATAAGTTGGGTTAAAAGAGTGAATAAAGAAAAAGTTTTGCAAAATTCCAAACTTTGTCTACATAATGTTCCCCCTCATATCGTGCTCCTTCCCCAAAATATAACCTTGACAGTTGTCGTTCTGTCTCTCTTTTGCGATTAGCAGCAGATTGACTTTTATGTTTCCTCTTTAACGTCTTCTCTGAAACTCTACGCTTGTCGAAACCTGCCATATTTGTTTACCTGCACAGACTATAGCCAGCCTATAATTCAGTTGTGGGACTCCAGCTTCTACTTGGTTTTTAGTGAATTCAGCCAAATGCTTGGTTAACATGGCGCGTGTGCCCACATTTCATGACAACTACAGAAGTAAACTCCTTCAAACTGCACCATTTGAGATTGTTTGGAATAACCTTTTATTGTTTGATTTCATAGTTTGCAATAAGTACCTTTGGGTAAGAACAATGGTCCTCATGCAAGAACATGTTCGTATTCTTTTACTAAATTTCTCTTACTTTTGTTCGTACGAAGGGTTCGTACGAACATGTCACGTCAGATTCAACAAACTCTTCTATCTTCAGGAAAAGTGTGTAAATGAGCTGCGTAAATTCCACCTGTTCGTATCCAGCTGCTCGTGCACGCGAGAGGAGATTAGCATAATTACCACCCCAAAACACCGTATAAGCCTATGTTTCCTGCCTCAGATACAAGGAAGTGTCCATTCATGAAAAATGACAGTGAAAACCAAAAAGAARAACTTTACGAGTTCAGAGATTGAAGTCCGTCTGTCAGAGATCCAGAAAAGAAAATCTGTCATTTTTAGCAGCTCAGCTGTGGGATAAAAAGAGCTGCTAAAAGTATAAACAACTGTGTTAAATCATTTTCATTTATTCAGAAGACACACCGTCGYGCACCGTACCGAAAACATTGGTGAATGCCACAAATTCTCCCAAATCACTCGTACGCACAACTTAAGAACAAATCTGTGCGTACAAACGGTTCTTGCATGAGGCCCATTGGGTGATGTTATATAGCACTGTTAGGGGAAACAAGTCCACAGTTTCTGAAAGGTTTATTTAACCAGTGATGAGTAGACTACTCTTCAGATCAGCCTTTTTGTCAGACGCACCGACTCATAATTCTACTGCGCATAGATGTGTGTGCCATAAATCTGCATAAAAGGCAGAAGCATGCTGTCAATGTAAAGCTAAGTGTTTCCTACAGGGATTAGGATTCACACCTGTGACCCAGAGTTCACTGCCTCCTCCCTCTTCTCCTCGTGGCAGTTGCACGAGCCGTTTTACGACGGATAAATCAACTCCAAGCCCTTTTAACGATGGGACACAACCATTAGGATCCATATTTCACCTTGACCGCACGCGTGGTTCTGTGTGTGTGTGTGTTGCCTCTTTGTGTTGCGTGTGTTTTTTTGTGTGACCCGGTGTCCACTTTTGTGGCCCAGCTTTATGATAGTCCCCATTAACCCAGAGAAACAGGGCACCAGACAGTGTCACCCCCGCATGGAAATCACGTTTTATTTCTCCAACAATTACGCTTGTTGTGGTCCTGCTGTCCCTCACTGTCTGTTTCACCTGACGTCTTTACTTTTATTTTCTCCCTCATCACCCCTCATCATATAATTCTTGTTTTCCACTCAATTTTCTTCCCTCATCTTTAACCCTTTTTGTTCCTTTTGATGGTTCTCCTTTTTTTCCTTCCATGCCTGCATTTAATAACCTTTAACATTTTATCATTCTTAGTCTACACGAAGCATCCAAAAAAATGCTCTTACCAGTTTTAATAAATTATTGCCTGCCACCATAAAGCAGGAGATAAACAAACTTCTTCCCATTCCTTTTCAAATATGTTAATTATGTTAATTTTGTTATCACTTTTTATCATTTTTTTTGTTTTGTATACATGTTTGAAATAAACTAACTAACTAAACTAAACATGTCTGTCTATGCATATCTGTTTGCCTGTCTGTTAGCAAAATATTTAATGAACCGCTGGAAGGATTTAAATGAAACCCTCAGGAAGTAATCATTAGATGTACGTTTATGCTTGATTAACTTTTGGAGTCAACTTGATTCAAAATGGCCACCACACCTGATCAACATTTGCAAACACAAACTTGTCCGTAACTCAATCATTTTTATGGCTATTAAGCTAAAAGTTGGTGTGGTGGTAGCCAAGATTTATCCACAACATATACTGTGAGTGTTAGCAGATTCTTTAAGTGCTTTGGTTAAAACTTTGACATTAACTGTTGGCATCAACTCTTATGTGTGTGTGTGTGTTAGCAAAATATCCCTTGAAACGCTGGACAGGTTTTCATCAAGCTCCCAGAAAGTAATTATTTGATGTACATTTAGAACTGCCACAGCTAACCTTAGCAGACATAACAATGACTATAACTCAATCAGTTCATAAACACAGAGCTAAAATTTGGTGTGACGGTAGCTGAGAGTTTTTCAGTTATTTGTTGTGAAAAGTAAAATATTGCACAAGATATTTGTTTAAATTTTAGACTTCCAAGTAAGAAGCAATGTACATTTTTAAGGAACACCGGTTTACACTATTTATTTCGATTAAATTAGAGAAAAAAATCAAAGGAGTGATGTGTGACAACTTCTCAACATGTTAGTTTAATTGTTCCGTTGGTAGTTCTGTTGTTATCAAAACAATAAAATAAAATAAAATAAAACACGACTGGGGCAGTAAAAGGATCGAAAAAATGAGAATAAATTGAAATAAAATGGAAAAAGGATTGGTGGAGCCACTCATCTGATGATATGGCAAGGTGTGTGTGTGTGTGTTTGTTTGTGTTTCAATTAATAATGAAGGTTAAAGTCCGTCCTTCCCTCTGGATACTAGTGAAGCTTAGGACCACACAAGCACACACACCTTCTCTCTTTGTCACACACATAGTTATTTAAGGAAATCACATCATCCCGGGGTGAGATGGGATAGTGGCTAACGTCACGCCTGGCTGATTTACCTACTTGCCATTAACCCAAAGACACACTGCATGGCAAAAAGGGAGGTGGGGGGGGGTTAAAAAGGATGAATACAGAGGATCTCTTTTTTGAGAAGGGGTGTTTTTTTACACTAACTTTCTGTGTTACTGTGAATAAATGCAAAAAAAAAAAGCAATAAAAAGACAAAACAGAGGCACAGATTGTTTTCTGTGCGTGTGTGTTATATCACAATTCTAACCTGATGTTAAATCACACATCCACCCACTGCCTCTTCCTCTCTCTGGCTCTCTGCATGGTCGCTGCCATCATTGAAAGTGACAGTGAGAATTTGGTCCAGTTTGTAGAAAATCTGCCTTTAATGACACCCAGCGCTTGCTGAATAAAAGAGCCGTGGGTATGGAAACGAAGGCGATGTGCATGTGTGTGTGTGTGTGTATGAGTGCCACATTGGCCTGGTTTAAATATCTGTTTTTATGCATGTTCGCTATTTGTTTTCTATTCCTTCTCCTCTGTGCCCCTGTTCTCCCCGCATGTAAATATGTGTGCGTTTGATTACATCTGCCATGCCTGTCGTCTCAGGTGACCGTGGGCTCTGTCACTTGCTCATGGGCCACAGCTCCTGCATGGACACGGAAATCACACACAGACATGGAGCTTGGCAAATGGAAATCTATCATGCCCTGTACATGTCAGGTGGCTCAGGGGGGGGCAAAGTAATCTACATACACCGTCAACCCCTCCTCCCTCCCCACCTCCATAATCAATTTGCCCCAGCACAGCCACGGCCCCACCTCTCTGCCAGATGACACAAAAAGGCAAGAAGCAATCCGTATCTTCAGTCCAGCACCCGTCTCTCCGTTCTACCTTTCTCACCTTCCACCCAGCTTCAACTCTTTTTAGTTTATGTCRTTTTTGGTATCGTTTTCCTGGAAGAAAGAGACAGTGAGGCTGTCAATCAAAGCAATTTTAAGGTTTGATATACGTGGCTGGRCTGCTGTATGGCTCATAAATAGTGTTTAGTGTTAAAGCATTTTTGAGTGTTAAAGAAAAAGTTTGGCTCTTTTGAAGTGGGAATTTGTGGAAATATTAAGAGCAATCAGTATCTTACCTGCTGTMGATTGCTCTATGGAAGTCCTCAATTTGAAAAAATAGAGTTTAATTTAGACCGGTTTGATGAACTTAAGGCTAGTCGAAGCCGGGCCAAGACCAAAGTGGATTGCTGGCAAGTTGAAACAACTCAAGCATCCAAAATGTCATAATAGTTCTTCTGAGAGTTATTTCTTAAAAACTTTTACAACGTTATTAGTTTCACATAACAAATTAATCTAGCAGAAAAATTACAATGTTCCTGCTCCCAGTGCCCCAGG